AAATTGATTAATCCTAAAATGACCTCTGACCCATCCTACTCCTCTCATCTGTTATCAGATTATAATTTTAACCTGTGTTAATCCATCAGACTGTGACCTTCAGACTGTCAGGGTGAATTAAATTTGAGACAGGTGAAAAGTTCAGTAATTACCTGACACTGTAACTAAGACTAGATCTTATTCTGATAACAGATACTCATCTCAAATTATTATTATCACAAGACACTTCCAAAATTACTGTATTATACTCTTAGTACAAATTAATAAATATCAATGAATATTCGAAAACTCCTATTTCAGAGTTAGAAATCAATCTTTTATTGAAGGCAGCATACGATTGGTTGTTCAATATCCAATGACCCATTGCACAAGAATCCTAACAATTTTGTCAGATCATGACAAAAGTGAGTTGCCTGCAGTCAAACAGGAAATAAACCATCCAGATTTGAAATCAATTTCTTTATCCTTTAGGATATTTAGGGTTATATATCACATTAAATAACGGAACACCATTTTATGATACACTACTCCTTAGTTTACTATACCATCAAAGTGTGTTCTATTATTCAATTTCTACAGTGGCGTTTATACGGGTCAGATTAGCCTCCACCTCCCCCCCCCACCCCCCACTTTCAAAATTTGCATACAGAAAGAAGGCCTTGAAAATTCTGTGGCTCCTGATCGGCCTCCTTACCTAAACTTTCTAGTAACGCCACTGGATTTCTACCAGGTGAACTTTATCCCGTCAGATGATCAACATCAACCAGATTTGAGATTCTGGCAACACTTCAAAATGTATCAAACATTAACACTATCACATAGAATAATCTGGCAACAATCACAAGTTTACTGTGACATAAATTACACATGTTGATATTGAAAGTTATATTATACAATTGTTGAATTAAATCTTGTATAAACTGTTCCCCCATTCAATCTAAAGCTGCACACCAGAGGCAGAGCCAGGTTTACGTCCTAGGGGGGGGCCAAATATCTGAGATTGCCTGAATTTCTAACCTAGTTATAAGATTTTTGCCTGGAAAACTGCGAGAGATGGGGGGGGGTGGGGGGGGGGGGGGGGGGGCCCCTAACCCCCCTGTCCCCCCTTTGGAACCGCCCCCGCCTCCCCCCCAAGGAACGGGTGGGGGCTAT